TTTCTGGTACTGACGGTTGAACCCAGAGTCTCTGCATTAAGCTACATCCCCATCCCTTTCTAGTTTTTATTTTGAGACAGGCTCTCCCTAAGTACTAAATTGTCTATCTGAGCTCCAGCTTGGACCTTCTTACCTCAGCCTCCCTGATTGTTGGGAATACAGATGGGTGCCACTAGGTCCAGCTTGTTATCCTTGTTTTACAGATGAGGAGGCTGAGCTATAATGAGGTTGCCAAAGTTATACAGCAACTAAGTATTGGAACTGGGATTAAACTAAGGCAGGCTAGCCTCTAACCTCTGAGAATGAATGAGTAAGAAAAATCTATGTAGATCAAACCATTTTTACCTTTATCCATGAGTAGGATCATGCTTAAAGTATTCCTTTCCCTTTTTTCTCACATATTGGTTTAAATTATTCTCCATCTCTTCCTATCAGAGTCCCCTAAAGACTATAAAAGAATATATTTCTCATGACTATACACACATTTACCTTGAATTGCTTTTGCTCTTTTGCTTTTTGAGACAGAGCCCTGCTATGTAGTTTAGGTTAGCCTTGAGATCACTACATAACCCAGACTGGTGTCAAACTGTAGGTAATTCTCCAGTCTCAGCCTCTCAAATGCTGGGATTATAGGTGTGCACCACTATGCCCAGCTTTCCCTTGAATTTCTTTAACTGAAGAACAGCTGAGAAGATTGGTGTGTGTGTGTGTGTGTGTGTGTGTGTGTGTGTGTGTGTGTTCCCTTCAAAGCTTCAAAGTCTTTCTGGTAAAAGTTTACCAAAAGCTGCAGTGCTAGAACAAAAGGTTGAAAGGTCTCTTACTGTAGACTAGCATTCTATACTAGGAAATCTAGCTAGATTTAAATTTTGGTAAGTCATGCACTCAGCAATTTTTTTTCCTATCAACTAGTTATCCGAAGACATTTACCAACATAAACTTCTATTGCTTCCCAACATGCAAACACACACACACACACACACACACACACACACACACACACTCATTCATCCCTTCTCTTTCCTCAAAAAGTTAAGAACCACCAATGCCTGAACAGAAAGAATGGTGGGTTTTCAGGCCTGTCAAAAGAGATCTTTGTAGTATCATGTCGCTTCACACTCAAGTCATGCAGTTCCAATTTCCAGGAATAAGGCCTTCTGAGAGAAGAGATTATGAAGTCATGTGTGTTACTAGTAGCTTCCATGTACTTTTTTGTTTGAGTTCATGATAGCCACAGCCTTATAGGCTTTTGCTTACTGTTTATCCTCAGGAAGTAACACAGGAGCAAAATAATAACAAAGAGTTAGATAAATGAATGAACAATTGCCTCCCATCTCTTGTTCTTCTCCTTGTTTCCATCACTACTCTCCCAGTGTGTCTTGTCTCAGGTTATTTGCACTTACTGTTCCCTGTGCCTGAAATGCTCTTTATCGAGCTCAGCTTGATGGCATCTCGTATCTCTGAAAGCTTTTCCTGAAACTTCACTCTTTCAAGGAATCTTCCCTGTCTATGCCAGCTAATACAACTTCCTGACTCAGACATTCCTCTCTTCCTTTTAACTTTATTTTTCTCTTGGCCTGGCCTGAAATAACTTTATATTTTTACGTATAGTGCATGCTGTTTTTACACCTGTCTAGAAAGTCAGTTTCGTGGGGCAGTGATTTTTTTTCTTTCCTTTTTTCACACCCAGGATAGTGTCTGCTACTTCATATGTGTTGCATATATATTATTCAAATGAATCATTTGAATAAACTGAAACACTGTTTGAAGACCTGTTTCACTAGAATTGAAGTCCCAAAATAGGGACACTACTGCCCAGATTTTTCCTGATTGGTTGTAGGTGTCTTGTGGGAAGTTTCACTTAATGTATCTGAGCTTAAATTTCTTCCACTGTATCTGAGCATAATAGTAATTAGTAACAAAGACAAATAAGTTGTAATATAGTGAACAGTAAATAGGGACTACAGAATAATCCTGAGGGTTTTATAAGATGAAGTGGATTGTGAATTAAGTGGACTACTGGTGCCAGCAACTATGATCTGAGAAATGGAAGCAGAGAAAGAGCGAGAGGAGATTCCAGCTTTCCTTGAGGAGTAGCTGTCTTTGACATTCTTGTCTAGACCAGGAAATGAGCAGTACTTTTGCTAAGCACAAATCATCTTCTCTTTGCCTTTTAAAATTCTAGATTTGAGTTGAAAGAAAGGTGGAGGAGCGGGAATCAGCATCCTGAATTCTAAATATGGAGTGTGTAATCTGTGTGTATGTGTGTGTGTGTGTGGTTGTATGTGATTGCATCCACAGTGTTGCTAGGAGGTGGTACGAGAATCATTTTGGTGTTCATTTGCTATGTTCCCATATAGAAAAGCTTCTTTTATTTTAGTTACATTACCATATCTAATGTTAAGTGAGCATGTAATTTCTACAGATAGGATAATTGTCACCGCAAAATATTCTATGAGAAAGTTTCCCGACAGTGTTAAGCAGAAGTATGAAAATTACTTGAGAGAAGTGCTTTAAAAAAATTAGGATAATTTCTAACTGAAATATTAACTGTAATGAATATGCCAGCACCAACCTTGATGTATCCATTTGGACATTTTCCACATCCCAAGTGGCTAGTCTAATACCAATTAAAGCATCACAGATTGCTATTATCTTCTTACATTATTATTTTCATGAATTAATTTTGTTTTAAAAGTCAGCCCTTTTCCAAATGAGAATAAATTTAAATATCTGAGATACAAATGTGAAGCTAAATGTCAGGACCCATACATATCTATGATTTTCAATTCTGAAAATACAGAATCATGGGAATAATCCCAGAAATATTTAACTAGAGGAATTGACCTTTTGGAGTCACCTAATCATTCCCTTGCTGTTTATATAGAATCCAAATAGTTCTAGTTTCCTTTATAAATTATTTAGCATTTTCCTTCTTACATGCATTCATTCATTTATTATTCATGTACCTATCAATCCATTATTTTAAACTTTTATTTAATAAATATTAAATATAATTTATTTCATGTACCTGGGATGCTACTTAGTACTGAGGAAATAAAATGTATGCTACTATTCATTTTCTACAATACCTAATGGTTTAGTGAGAAAAGCAAACAGGTTCATGAATAACTGTAATATGATAAAGTCTGTCTTAAAATAGAAGTAGAGACAAAGTTCTAACTGGATCAGTCAGAAGTGGTACCTCTTTTTTCTTGGGTTCAAAGCAAGTGTGGATCAGGCAAAATATAAATATAAATATACACGAATATAAAAAGAAATGAATGGGTGTATTAAGTTTCAGGAGCATGAAATAGTGAGGCACAGCTGGCGTTGAGAATGTGTGTCTCTGTGGGAGAAAGGGAAGATGAAACTGGGAGGCTTGAGGTCTAATCATTAAGGCCTTCAAATATCTTTGTTTCTGTAATAAAACAATATGGTAGATTTTTTCTTTTCAGGATGATGGTGGCAAAGAGAAGGAGGAATTGTGAGGGATAAGACAAAGCAGAGAGACAAGTCAGAAAGTGCAACTCCAGATGGAATAAAGGCTTTGACTAAGTGATAGTGGGATAGAAGTAGGGAACAGATTAGAAAGACGATGAGAAACTGGAGATAAAACTAGAAGAAAGTTATGGGATTCTTGAAAATATTCAATAGGGATAGAGCATTGGAATGCAAGTGATATATTTCTAGGCCTGTTCCCTGCTTTCTCTAAAGGATGTGAAGTGCCTCGAACTTCTTTGGCTGTCTTCCCCCTTTGTTGTCAGCCACTTTTTTCTGCTGAGAGTCATCACACTGACAGTTTTAGGTGTGATATACCTGGATAACACCAGCTTGACTACACGGCAGACTAGAACACAAAAGTTGTGCTCTTCCTTAGGTCATTATTTTAATCTTATACTTTCTGTTTTGGTGCCAAAGTTAGTAGTCATGGGGAAAAAGGGTTTGTTTTTATTGCTGAAAAATTCAAAATCTTTTCGACATTGAAAAATATTATCTTCTATTATGATATGATTAATTATTTCTCTGTGATCAGTTTTACCTGTCCTGACTTCTCAAATTTGTGTAGGCAATGTTTTACTTTACTTTTGATTTGCACTACCAAGAACCTTCTGGTATATGATGCTAATTAGGTACTGCTCCATATGATTTATTAGTATATGTTGTTATTATTTGTATTTTTCTCAAATATTAAATTATAGTTCTGTATTTGAAATTCAAATAGTATGTTTTTGTACCTCTGGAATACTTTGGGAAAGAGACAGATATAAAGAAAACTTTTGAAAGTCTATTTATATTTATAGAATGTCATAAATTACAGCTGAAAAATGTCATGGATCCCATTTGGACTCTTAATGTGGATTACAGAATGAATAATAAGTAGAGAATAGCAAAGTTGACTTAAAAAGTGAATGTTCAAAGGTGCCTGGACCTAAACATTAGTTAAATAACTTGATCCCATTTACTTGCCTTAAGGTATACGTGGATTAAGCCATGGTTCAGCAAATTATAAATTACTAGGAACACTGATATTCTGAAAAGCTTACAAATGGTAAAGACTATAAATATTAGATCTTTAAATTATACAAAATATTAGTATATAATATTGCTTCTATTGTTCTTTTATACTTGGTAAAATGACTACCTTCTGATTTCTGTGTGCTTTTTCACTTGATTTTAATAAACTTTTTGCTTTTGTTTGTGCAAAATGCTTCCCAAAATATTCATGAAAAATGCTTACTGTTCTTGTTTCAATTTCTCATAAAAATTATTCATTTCAGATCCCATTTATGCTTGTATGTTTCTCTGAAATTAAAAATACTAAGATCTTATTATTCTCTGAGTGAGAAGCAGAAATATCCTCACTGTGAGCTTTATTTGGAGGTAAAGAAGTTACTGTACTGCTGTCCCTGTATGCTTATTGAAGTGTTCTCTTTCTCTCAAATTTGCTTCCTGTGATAATTTTTGATCAGTGGAGTACCTGACATGTGTTTGTTTCTTAGGCAAACGTGTAAAATTCTTCAAGTTCGAATGGAGAAGTATAAAGTGAAGGTTTCTGCTGTGCCTGATGACAGTTTTTGATATTTTCACTTTCAAAAAATATTTTGACTCCACATTAGAGCACTAGTTGTGTTGAATCCTAGTGTTGGTCGGATTCTAAGGAAGGGACAGAAGTTTCCTTGAAAAGTAAAGATTCAAAACAACTCCAGAAATGAGCTTGCATCTTGATTTATTTCTCACAGAGCAGCAGGTGTGTACTCCATTTTAACAGGATGAACTATAACCTACTGTTTTTTGTTAACCATTAGCATGCCAGGTACCTTGGTACAGCTGTAGGGATCAGAGGGCAGAGAACTGCTGCAGTGGTCAATCATGACAGTAAACTTTCTTTCATAAATAAGTGAGAAGAGGCATCATTCTTTGAACTGATATGGGATCTGTACCTTGGAAAATTTGTGCACAAAGAGCCAATACAGTATGGTTGGTAAATCAAATATTGTCACCCGTAGTGGCTCTGCAGTACTGCTTTCACAGAATAGAAAATGGAAACTATAAACCATCGGTTTGTTCCTCAACTCCTGTCAGAGTTCAGACTGACTGTTACTTTAAAAATTAGCATGAAAATTACAGAGCCATCAGAATTGCATTTAATTTCCATAAACCAAATCAAGACTAAATTTTTACCTAATGGTCCATTCTTTATATATTGGAATCACCTCATATTGAATGTTTTGCCAAAGCTGCACCTAAGAAATTACAAATAGAATTACAAATAGGTAGATTTAAAGATTCATATCTTGATCAACTTTGAAAATGTGAGACTATTGAATTGTAATCATATTATTAGACAATCTCAAGGAGGATTATAGGTTAGCAAAAAGGAAAAGGGGTCAAAGCATGTACACTTTAAACATCACTGTCTATGCTACCCTGTCCTTCAGAAAATGGACTTTTGTTTCGCACTGTACAGAATAGGGATTTTTTATACCAAAACATCTGCCACATGTGGAACATTCATTATTAAACTTAACTGTATGGAACAAGATAGGAACAGAAAGTAAAAAGCATCACTTCTTCAAGCATGTTCTCAGAAATTGCTATTATTGGCTTTATTCTTTCTCAAGTTACAGTAAGTCCTTTTCAAAGTGACAGCAAGACATTTTTCATTCAGACAGGTGTCTCAAGGAAAGGCTGTGACTAAGAGTCATTGGTTTTTGTAACTCAAACCAACCAATAAGTTAACAGAAAACTACTAAGAAGAATTTCTTCTTTTTCAGCCCTTTTTCTCTTCAAATTCCACTTATCCTAAAATAATTTTTAAGAACTAGTTTTACATTTTTGAACAGTACTTTAATTTATTTGTATTAGCATATGTTTATGATACAGAATAATTGCATTCATTCTGGCTAGTTGGTGCATGTTTGTGACACATCTTTTTATGTTCTCCTCCTTCCTCTCCCCCCATCTCTTGGTCTCAGTCCATTTCCAAATGATCTTATCCCCTTGTTTCCTTTTACACGTCTTTCATTTTGCTCTTTGGTTATACCTTGGGTTTCTCATATGAGAGAAACCATATGATATTTAAAATTATGGGTTTGATTTATTTCTTTAATATTATGGTTTCAAGATGCATCCATTTCCTATAAATGACTCAAATTTACCTTTGTTTATAGCGGATTAGTATTCCATGCAGTGTAAATACCATGTTTTTTAATCCATTCATCTATTGATGGACATTTAGGCCATTTCCAAGAATTAACTTTTACCAACTAAGCTGCTATATGCATGGATATGCATGTACCTAAATATTAAAACAGAAGTACTTTAACCTGCTTAAAATAGGTAAAACTTGAAGTCATAGGTATAGGCAAAGACTTTTTGAACAGAATCTTAATCGCACAAGAAATAACATCAGGAATGAACAAAAGGGATTATATCAAATGAAAAAGATTCTGTACCAAACAGTCAGAGAAATCCTATAGAATGGGAAAAATTTTTTTTGTCAGATATACTTTAGACAGAGGAATAATATCTAGACTATATTAAGAACTCAAAATAACTAGACCCTCAAAATAAAGATCCAATGAAAAAAATGGGCAACTGAAAGGAATACATACTTCTCAGAACTATTTTTGTAGATTACTCCTATAATCCCTCATATTTAGTAAAGCTGAAATTGTGGAGAATTATGATTCTTGACCAATTTTAAACTTTTTAAAGTAAATCTTCACTGCAGAAAGTGAATAAAAACTATCAATTCAAATTATTCCTCATTTATAACTGAGAGATGAGTCTTTAAAAATGAACCTGGTACCAAATTTAGCAGGTAAAGTACATTCCAATTAAGTTCAAAATCTGAACTGTCTGTGAAAGTGCATGAATTATGCTGGTAGATGGGATTAACATCTGTTCAAATGTACTCAGATTTCCTCAAGCCATTTAAAATAATTGTTTCCCTGTCAGAATAATTTTTTGATGCTCCTAAGATAGTTCTCCCTATCCTGTGTGCTGTTGCATTTCACCATTATCTTAACCTGTTATTATGGGTTTATTAATTTATTTTTTGAAATTTTCCACCTGGAATAAACAGAAAGTACACATGTTAGGGGGCCAGAGGAAGAAGGAAAGTCTTTTCTTAACAAAGTCTGTAAAATTTCAAAGGATTTTACTACTTAAAGAGAAAGCAGAGAATGTTTTCTTTTCCTAACCGGTAGTGTCATCAAGAGAGAATTAGTTGATCTGTTTCTAAGTAGAGGGATGTGTGTAAATGTCAATGCAAACAGTCATCTGCTTCCACGAGTCACGTAGGAGAGTTCATGGCAGTCTCACTGTACAGCTTTCAAAGTTCCAAGAAACAGTACAGGTCCATCTGTTCAAAAGATTCATTTCCAGTTGAGATCTTCATTTGCACAGCACAGAAAGCTCAAAGCCATTGACAGATGCTGTATTTGTGGTAAGAGCTCACTAGTTCTGCATTCTAATATAATGATTAGATCTTTTAGAAAAATGAAGTCTACAGAATGGTTATACCACTGTTGAATTTGGGTGATCAGGACAAAATTTTATTCCATTTGGAAGTAGTACTTCTTAAGAAAAGCCTTAGCAGCTGGGGCCTAACAGGGAATTAGAAAGCACTTCAATGATTCCAGCTGACTCTTGGCAGTTAAAATCGGAGGTTGGGCCTGAGGATTTAGCTCAGTGGCACCGCACCTGTGTCACAAGCGCAAGGTCCTGAGTTCGACCGTCGGTACAAAAAAAAATAAAAAATAAAAATAAAAATCGGAGGTGTTTAAGTGACACCCAAAATTCTAAGTTCTAAAACTAGCAGGTAGTGACACTGGTATAAATCTTGACTCTCCCGACTAGCAGAATAAGATTGCCTCTACTCTATCGTATTTAGAATCGAGGTTCTTTCTAGGATTCCAGAATAGTCATATGCCAAGTCCAGACACTTTCTGAATCCCCTTCCATACTGGGACTCACACAGAGTTACACCTAACTATGATCAATTAGCTACAGAAATCCTCTCTGTTGTTTGAAATGCTTATCTTTCCACTCACCTAAAGCTATTAAAATTTTCTAGTATTTATAGAGCAGACTTTTCAGACAAGTTCAAGGGCATTTAGTGGAAATCCAAACTCTTGCTAAGGTTTTAGAGAGATGGCCTTTAATATATCAAAATGTTCAGGCGTATCTAGCACCATAAGTTTGTGAGAGGAAAAATTAAACTTAGTATGAGATGCAGTGATTATTTGGGCTATAGAAATCACCTCTGTCACCAGGAAAGTAAAATATAGGCTTAATATTTTATATGCATGGATATATTTATGAAGCTGATTCACATGTACTTGTCTTACAGTACCTCACCTGTAGCTGAAAGGTGTCTGGTCAGGTTGCTTGTGCATGTATACCTCACATAAAGAGATGCTTTTATTTTGTAATACCTCATGGTGTAAGGTGCTTGGAGATAGGAAAAATCTATTCATGTACAGTTACAACTAACTTAACAGCAGCTTTTCTCCAGCTTAAATGAGAACTGCTGTTGCAGAGTAATTACTTTTTTAAAATTAACTTTATTGGTACATTTTAGGTATACATTATAATCACATTCATCATTGGGAATTTGTACCTGTACATGCTATATCTTAGTTCTTGTTTTTTCCCATTCATTCCCCTTCCTTCCCTTCCACCCTTCCACCCCTCCCTATTTCCAAAAGCTTTGTTTCCACTTTTCCTTCTTTTCTCATGTTTTTTCTTCCCCTTTTTTCCTTTCCTCCACCCTCTTATTTCCCCTTTGAATCTTTTTTTCCTATTTCACATTATCTATTATGCATTTTGGTCCTCATTTACACTTTTAGTTTCTCGCAACAGAGAGATAACTCAGTATTTACACATATGTGTCCTATTTATTTCACTTAAGAGTATGGCCTCAATA